TGGGCCCATTCAGAATTCTACCTCACTATCCTTTTGATCATAGCCCTAAGTGTGCTGTTAACATCAAGGACAAAAGCCATGTGCAAGTAATTATTTTTGAAACTGAATGCATCTAAGTTCCATGGTGTAAAACCCACTGACATGCAATAGCCCCAGAATCACTTCAGCAGCAGATGTTACAGATGGAAAACAACCATGTGAGCAGTTTAGCTCATTTTCCTGTTGTTGCAGGTATCTTTTTGACAATCAGTAGATTTGCTAAGGCACTGCTCAAGCTAATTTTTAATAGCTCAGTGAGGACTAGCAGAAACCTTTGGGCAATTGCTCCTCACTCTATCTGATGTACCAGATTAGGGAAGTCTAAACTATCAATTCTGTCTTGTCATCTGTGTATGTGTTATCACTTAATTTTGCCTTCTACAATCTCTTATTGGGTTTTGTAATTTTCTGTGCAAATAACAGGCATTTATAGATTTTTTTTTGCACTCCACTAACAAATTACTATTTTGCACAACAGTTCATCATTTTTAGCAGAAGTTGCTTTTTAGGTCTCATCATCTTGGCATTTAATCTTTATTTTTGGCCTACAGAAAAAAAAATATTTTCTAGCAAAGTCAGTAATGCAAATTATTCAACTTGCATTAACACATACTTCATAATCTTTCTGCCTTTACAGCTTCTCCTGGCAATAGAAATAAATTACAGCTGCTAGAATATAGTGTTATTCTTTCTCTGTCTGAGCTGGGGAAAAGTGATTCATTTTCTCTCTTTCTTAGCAAAAGAGGACAGTCTGTTCAGTGAAGCAAAATTTATTAGGGCTAAAATTAACTGGAGGAAATACAATCCATAATTAAGCCAGGTTACTTAGCGCCACAGATGCAGTATGAAGAGTATTCCAACTGTATTACCATCACAGGAAAATGGGGACATCACTCAGTTTTTGGAATGCGAGTTGCCACACAAACTTGGCACAGAATCAGTAAGGTTATGAGACATTGAATCTGCACATTAAGGCAGAAGAAATGTACTTTTAAAAAAAGCTGATAAACTTCTACACTATAAATACAGTTGCAAGGAAAAAGCAGCATTTTAACTAGACCAATAAATGGGCTCTGATTAGAAATTAAGTGGTGCTCCTACAGAATTCAGCTATTTCTCAGTAATTAGGACATTCCTTAATGAAGTGGACTGTGGTGTAAAGCAACCAATTCAGGGCTGTTGTTTATTTATCTGATTCAACTGCATTAGCTAAATGTCAGTGTTTTTGCCAGCAGCCTATGCTGCAGCCATCAGATCGGTGACGAGTCCGGCTTCTCTAGCTGCAAACAAGGAACAGACTGGGGCAGTGGGGAGGAGACTGCTGAAGGCAAAGAAAATGCTGTATTTAAACAGTTGTGTTTGCTTTTCTGTTTAAAAAAAAAAAAAAAAATCGTGAAGATCTCCTTTCTGCCAGAACACTGGCACTTTGCAAACACTGCCAGCACAAACCCCTGCGAGCGAGCCAGCTGACATCAGCTGACCGAGGACATGGGGGGATTTTGGACATTTTATCCATTCCTCCTCAGACAGACAGGCTTTTGTCCTGGCCATCTGACCAAAACAAGCTCGTGAATAAAAGCAGAAGTTGCCTATGGAATATGTGCTTATGTCAGTGCAATCAGAAGAGAAGAGCCCAATAGGATGTGATGTTTCAGATATTACCATTGGAGATGGCCAGTTCAGTCTGGCCTGTACTGGTGATGAGGAAAAACACCCTCATGTCCTTGCCTAGATTAAATGAGCTGGACAATTTCTGCATCGCTTAAGCAGGTGATAGTTTGGATCACAGAAGTTGCTACTGCAATTGGCTCCTGCCAGGAGAGTAAGCACTAAGGACTGAGGCTGAGGTTGCAGCATCTTTGGAATGAGATCTGTGCACTCAGAGCAACCACAATTCATCTCAGACATGGGACATGAAGTTCTATTTCCCAGAGTCAAGTTAGCCAGAGCTCACAACACAGATCCAAAGTCCCTTTTATGACTTTATACCCAGTGGAAGGAGGAAGGGAATGCATGAGAGGCAGGTAAGTCAGGTGATACCTGATTGAGCACAAAGCCTTTTGGCACAAAAATTAATAAAGCCAAATTTTTGCAACAAATCCCAACCATCAGAAAGATTAACACAACTGCAGTGAGTGACTCTGCTGTTTTCAGTCTAGCTCTGGGAGACACAAAAATGCCTTGTGTTATCAGGCCTTACCTTCTGGAAACTTTTCCATGCCAGGTACTTGCAGAACAACTGAGGCCATGAGGAGCAAACTCTGGGGAGCTGTATTGGCTCACAGAAGTTGCCTTTCACATCACTCAAGCAAGGGCTGTCTTAATATGGGCCCAGCTGTAATACAAAAGGGTTATGTCCATGGCAATTGAAGTCTTCAAAAGTTTAATATTTAGACCCTCAATACTGCAAATACATTTCAAACATTCTTGTTTCCCAGGATAATAGCTACATAATTACGGCAAGCCAATCATACTTTCTCTTTGATCCCACTGGATTTATTTACCAAAAGTCATTGCATGGATGTGCACAGCAAATGTCCTACAGAAGTGCTTGTAACAAAATTAAAAGCTTAAATATAGAGATTCTCTCTCCACTAAGTACTGGCTTTTATTAAAACTGGGAGTTGCTCATACTTCACCCCTTGCAGCCTCTTTGAATCCTCTGTTTGACATTTCAAAAGTGCCATGCAGGTTCTAATACACATTACACAGAAAGAGCTATTATAAAATTCCTGACTTTTTCTTGTTTGCACGACAAAGGGGAATGGCAAATCCTCCAATTGGACCAGATAATCACTTTCCTGTGAAAAGCCTCCAATATACATCCTCTGTTTTCTTCTTAGTTGAGCTTCAAGTGTGTTTGGTCAATAATTTTATTTTGTGTGTGAAGCCCATAAATCACCTTCCAATACACATTGGACAGTGGAGAGTCCTGGTGGATTTGGCATCAGCCAAAGGAGAAATCACATCCGGATACAGGAAAGCTGGGTGCTGCTGGAGCAATCAGACATTTTAACTTCATGTTGTTGTGGTCTTTTGAAGAACGCTCGTTGCAAAGTAGGACCACTCTCTGGAGCAAAGACTAATTGAATGGATAAATAATTATAGGATCATGTCTTCTGATATAAGAGAGAGACCATTACAAATCCATGGACTGCAGTTTTATCCAGGTGACCGTATAAACCTAACAAATTCCCTGCTGGCTGAGCTGGCCAACATTTAGAGAGCCCATGTGCAGAAAAGCTTTGTCAGCCATCTGAACATCACTCAGGTGGTTTCCAAACCTCTGACACAGCCCATTTTGTGACCAGCTCTTTTGCCCCGGCCTCAGGAAATCAGTAATATGCCATTTGGCTGGAGAGACAGTCCTGAGGGAAGAGCTGGGCATGTGGAGCTTCCCTAAAGGGATGAGGGGTCACAAAGATTTCAAGGAAAAAACCTTCCCTTTTATTTGCAAATGCGGGAGTATTTGACATGAGCTGAACTTGAAGCCGACAAATGAAATGGATATTTTTCACTTCTGTTTGTGTCTTGGGAATGGATGCATTTTGAAGTAATATACAAATGCATGTCTAAAATTCATCTCCGGAGAAAGATGCTACACAAAGTGCAGGATTAAAGAATGCACTGCCTTGGGCCATGCACAGGCTGTTACTTTGTAGTCTGTTCCATTTTAGTCTTAAAACTCAATTTAGCTAAATAAGGTGCCCTTTTAACATCTAGCAGAGGCTTTATCATGCTTAAGAAGACAAGTTTCTTAAAAGGTTGTAAAGACAAAGAGAGCAGTAACAGAAGTGTTGAGTGGGGCTTTTTCAGACGGCTTTATTGCCTTCCCCTGAGTACAAAACAGGCTGCCTCCCTCAGCTGACACTTGTTTTAATGAGGGATGAGCCACAACGGGGTGATTTTGTACAAGTTCATTACACCTCATCCTCCAGCCAGACTGTCCTCAGGGCACACCATTCAGCCTGGGCATTGGTGAAACTGGACCAATTTTAAATCCTTTACAGAGGCATATAAAATCCAAAGGGCCTTTGATGCTGAAGACATTTGTATGTAGGCTCAGGTATGTGTCTGCTGGAGAGGATGAGACTCTGCCCCAGGTGCCATGCTCCTTCATGCTTTTATCAATCACATTTTATTTCTTCAATTCAGTTCTCCTGGGATTGGTGCCAAAAATAGATTTCCACATCTTATACCAGAAAAGGCCAGGGAAGAAAAGGGTGTAAGTTTCCAGTTTAAATGTTCCAAGGTAAATATCCAGCCTCCTCACCCCAGCCTTCAGATCAGCTTCACTCTCCAGAGCCAGTGCTCTATTGTGGCTAACGTTAACAGCATTCAAAATACAGATATTCTTCATCCATTCTGGGGAATAGTGCAGTGGTTTCTCATGTTCACTGGAAGGTGATCTACCTTTACATAAAGCCCTCTTCTTCTAAGCATGAGTATTATGAAACCCACAGGAATCCATAAAGAGTGATGGGACGTTTTTCTAAACTGTCACACCCGTACATCTTCCACCTTCTGTGATTCAGAAGCAGAGTAAAAGCCCATAAATCATTCAACTGCTGTGACTCACTGCCCTGATTCATAACTTGATACAAATATTCAGAGATCAAAGTGGAACCTAACACGCCCCCCCCCCAAAAGATTGAAATGATTTTTCAATGCTTGCCATAAAAATGCACTTCCAGCTGAAGCTAAAGCTTCTCCTGATTGTTATTGGCAAGTTCTCTGCAGTAAAGATTGATGCTGTCTTTAGGAATCCTACGGTGTAGTACATAAAGCAATGTATTCTGCAGTTGTGCTTCCTCCTTAGCAAGGCTGAACAGGGGACACTGATTGCTCAGGGGGTTTCTGGGCAAACATTTACAGGGAATTAAAAAAGAAAAAAGGAAATTTCTTCCCCGTGATGGAATCTAGGAGCCCCCTAAATCTTCTTGTATTAACTTTGCAGTGGATGAAGGTGTTAAACTGGCACGTCTCTACCAACAGGGGAGTGATCCTTTTAAGTCCTTTGCTTCGTCCCCACTTGTGAAATTTGTTGTGCCAGTGGGACGAGGCTGGCTATAAAACCCCAGCACCGGGGACCTCCATCCAGCTCGGGCAGCCTGCCAGCACATCTCTGCCGAGAGCAGCCCCAGGGAGATCCCCCCTTCATCTCTGCCGGGCAGGATGGACCTGAGGTGTGCCCGGATGCTCTGCGTGCTCTGCTTCATCCTCACGGTCCAAGCCTTTACCCAGGAACGGTTCAAGGAAGTGGTGCTGAAGCAGCTGGGGCTGTCCGAGGTCCCTAAACTTCATACGAGAGACTTGGTGGACCTGGTTATCCCAGAGCACGTCAAGAACAAGTACATGTCCATGCTGAAGCGCCAGAGGGTGAAGCGCCGAGCTCTGCCGAGCCTGGCTGGCATCCTCAGGGGGATCCCGGGACACACAGGTAACGTTTCTGCTGCTCGCAGCATCCCGAGCATCCTGCTGCCACCAGCGGCATCTGCCAGGGCTCTCCGCAGGATGGACAGAGGCAAACCCCCGAGGGGAAAGGGGAATGAGGGTCGGGTTTGGCTCCAGAGCACAGCTGGGCAGAGGAGGTGCTTGCAACAGCATCGTTAAGATTAACAAGAACCCTTTGCGCCTGGAGAGGGAGTCCCGCAGCCCTTCCAAAGCACAAGATGCTGCTGGAGCTTGATAGATGCCTTGGTACCCTGGGAACACTCTGGGCAGGTGGGGGGTGGGGGGGGATAAAAAAGTGCAGGTAGGTTTTGGATGAAATCTACAGTGATTTCTCTAATAGGAATCACACCCCTTGGAGGATGTTTCACTCTGGCTCATGTCTTTTTTGTTTAGGCTTGTTGTTTTGGAAATTTACCAAGGAGGCAAATAGCCATACAGATACAATAGTGGCTGTACAAGGGCACTTAGAGCTTATGGTGCTTTCAAAGGACATACACAGCACCCTGGGCAGCAAATGAAAATACTTTTTCATTCCAAGTGGTGCAGTTTCCTGCTTTCATGCCCAGCACTGGCACAGAGGCGCACACCTTTTGAGGTCTGCTCAATTTGGGGTCATATTATGGCAGAGATTTAGTTCTTCCTAAAGGTTACAGAGGCTCAGACATAGGAGAATAATCAGGGCATTTGCAAGACATTGATTCAAGTATGCATTAGAAAAGGTGTGTTTAGTCACTCTGCCACAAGGACTCGACTGGGAGCAGGAAAGGAGTGTGTTGTGATGATAATTGTGCATGAAATGTGGTAGCTTTTCTCAGCAGGGTGGCAGTGACAGGCCATCATTTTTGTCCTCAACTGCACAGGTATGACAGGGGAAGTCCTCTACTCTGACACAACCACACGCCAGAAGCTGATGTTTGACATGGAGGGCAGAATACCTAAAAATAGCGAAGTCACAATGGCTGAACTGAAACTCTTCAAAAAGCCTCTGGACAGAACAAACCTGCCTGCCAAGCAGTCTCACAGGCCTGTCTCCAATGCCAGAGTCAGTGTGTACTGGGTGCAGCAGCAACACGATGGTACCAACAGGACCTCCCTGATAGATTCCAGGTAAGAAAGGGGCCTCTGCTGGAGTTCCAGAGTTTGGGTCCTCTGGGATGCATTTGGGTATCATATGGTTGTGCCTCAGCTCAGTCTGATGGGGTTTACATTTGTACAACCTCGTTATATAGCCTCTAAACCCAGAATGAGCTTTTAAGTACAGATATTATGCTGAGATGCCAATATATGATGATTTTTTGAAATAATATATGAAATTATGCCACGTACTGCTATATCTTCCTCTCTAAAATGCCCCACCTGGTCCAATTCTCTGTCACTAGTTCAAGTACTGGCTGCTAGTATTCTTTCCATTGGCCATTTCATTAGGTGATTAAAACAAGTAAATTATGCAAAAAGCATCTGATTCTGTAATGGTGAGCTCTGTGGAAGTTTTGCAACTCTTGAATGCTGAACTAGACTAGACTAGAAACTTATGGCCCTAATGCAGCTCAGACAGGAGCAGGTGGGAGCCTGGTGTTTACCAAGTTGTCATCACCAACACTAAGGATGCACATGATCCTGCACCACCTAATTTTTTGTATGAGCATGTAGAGAAGGTTTTATCTGGCCCTTCAGTGTCTTAGATCTGCATGCTTCTTTGTGAGGTGGCAAGTAGCTGTGGGTGCTTGCCCAGAGCAAAAATGATCATGTAATTAAGGCATATGACAATCTACAGGAAGCAAATTATTCTGCTGCAATAACAGCGCTGCAAGCCTGGGATTTATCTGATGGGCTTTTCTAATGCCAAGCCCTTGTCATGCAGGCTGGTTCCTATTCGTGAGTCGGGCTGGAAGAGCTTTGATGTGACCCAGGCCGTGCATTACTGGCTGAGAAACAAGAGGCGGCCGGAGCCAATGTTCCTGGAGGTGTGGATCGAAGGGGAAAGGCTGGGCAGCTATGCCTCGGAAATGGCCAAAGCCGTGCGCTTCACCTCGCAGGACCCCAAGGATAAAGCCCTAGGCAAGCCTGAGCTGGTGCTTTGCACCCTCAACTTGGATGACTATGGGTATGTAAAAAACCTAAATCTGTACTGTCTCTGGTGTGATTTTGTCCCTGAATTATTGGGGGGACAAACCCAGGGTGGGCAGCTCTTACCCTCACCAGCATTTACCAGCTGTGAATGGAGTAGTTAGAAAGCTACTGCTGAATCTCACCTCTCCTCTTCCCATACCTGTTGTCTGAATACTCAAACCCTGAGCTGGGCCCAGGTTTCATGTCTCAGAGCCCACCTGTGCTATTAGCAGCAGGGATGATTCCTCCCACTTCCCAGTTTATAGCACCCATTCCTGTTTCTCCCTTGGTGTCCAGGAGTCCTGGGGACTGCAGGGAGGAGGCGGTGATGGGGAAATCCACCTGCTGCCGGCAGAAGCACTACATCAGCTTCCGCGAGCTGCCGTGGGCGCAGCACTGGATCCTGGAGCCGGCGGGGTTCCAGGCCTACCGCTGCTCCGGGGGCTGCCCGCAGCCGCCCCGCGCCCTGCGCCGCCTCGGCTCCGGGCAGCGCTCCTGCGCCGTGGCGGACAGCTCCGCGCTGCCCATCATCTACCTCGTCAAGAGGGGCAACCACACCGAGATTGAGGCGGCCGAGTTCCCCAACATGATCGTGGAGAGGTGCAGCTGCGTCACGGACGGCGAGGCGCTGGCATGATGAGTGGGTGGCCTGGGGTGTCATCCATTCCCTGCAGCCTGCCAAGAGCCACCCCGGCCCCCAGCCCCGGGGTCAGGGATGAAGGTCTTGGGGGGTTCCTGCCTGCAAGGGCCAGCAGCACTGGGGCCCTGCTGCCCTGCAGAGAGAGCGCACTTGGGGGCACTGTCCGTGTAGATGGGCTCAGAGAAGCGTGCTTTTCACATAAGTGAGGGGTACCTTAGGAGCCTACTGCTTCTTGGGACCTCCTTGATGCCAGCTGAATTTCACTGAATTTATTTCATCCCCCAGCCTGGAGTACTGCAAACAGCTCCAGGCAAAAGAAGATTGCCCATCACCAGGTGAAGAACAAATTCGTGGGCTCAGCTTTTCATTCTTTGGCTGCTGGGTTTGGTCCTTGTCTGCCCAAGCCGTGTTTATGGTGAGCTGGAGAGCAGAAGCACTTACATGATATAAACTGTTAATATATAAACTGTACACACGCACATGCACACATGTACAGAGTGTATGAATAAATGTGTGTACTGTCTACATACTGGATAGCTACATATTGATTACTTACATATATGTACGTACATAAAATATTTCCTAGAGCTCAATGGAGCATATTTATGTGCATATGTATTGCATGTACATATACATATCTACACGTACATAAATTATTATCTGAAACACAATGGCTTATATTTTTGACCCCTAAGCCACGGGCTTAACACAGTTTTAGGTGGAATTTAGAGTCCTGGAATCAACAGGACTTAGGTTTCCTTGTGTGAGTAACAGTTTGTTTTTCTGATTCTGTATTACAGTTATGTCAATTTAGGGATATTTTTCAAGTCGTGTGTGCTTTCAGAATCAAGGAAAAAATAAAAGTATTGAAGTAGTCATGTGTTTCCTTGTATTTATTCTTAGATCTAGAAGTGGAGGGGAAAAGGTCTGTCATGCTTTGTGAATATCCAGTGCCCAGCTCCTATAAACATACACAGAGCAGCAGCTTTTCTTAGTTACCTGTATGATATTATTTGCTCCCCCAAGGGTCTGGGCTGAATCAGCAGGCAGAGTAGAGCCTACACTGCCAGCGCTTCATCCTGAACTGCTGTGGAGTTTAAACCAACACTTTCTTAAAGAGAAAACCTAGAATCTTACCTGCCAGCAGGAGGTGACACTCTCCTCGTGAGCCCAGCGGTGACAGAACCTGCAGGGGTCAGCTGGAGCTGTAGGAAGGGATGAGCTTCCTCCCATCCCCTTCCTGCCCAGGTAAAGCATTTTAACCCTGACCCTTCCTGACATCTGACTAACACATACCCTGGAGAAACGCTATGAACATGTGGTGTAATCCCGCTCAGATCTGTGCTGAGCTGCTGGCCATGGTGTCACTCGTGGTAATGATTTCCACCGTTGTGTCAGACTCCTCAGTTCATAACCCACTGTGACAGTGGCAGTGGCTCTGGGGATGAGGCATTTGCTGCTGACCATCCCTGTTGGATGGTGAGATGTGGTCCCTGAGGCTCTGGTTGAACCTCCTGCTGGTGCAAGGACTCTGAAATGTGCTTGTCTGGCTAGACAGGGTGACCATGGATGAGGGGAAAAGAGACCTGTTTGACTCTGCAATGGCTACGTGTTATCCATCAGGAAGACGTGAGTGTTCCTACTGTTATGCAGGACCCCAGGTCTGAGGTCACCCAGGCATCTCTGCCACCATCTCATGGGTAGGCTGGCACCTCTGACTTGTGTAAACATCTGTGGCAAAAGAGCTTTAAGGGGAGAAGAAAAGGCAAAAGCACAGATTCACCATTCACCAGCGCTGGGCTGCAGCACCCTGGGTCATTGGAGTCAGGACTGGATGAGCCGGCATGATCTCTGGCATTCCTTTCTCATGACTGTAGATACCTTAATGGCATTGGCATTCAGCCCCAGGTCCTCTCCAGCCAGCTCGGGGCAGGGCATAGCCTGGAGGCCAGGAGCTCAGCGATCACCACGAGGAACAAAGCCGATGATCCAGCCACACACCGAGCCTGGGAAAGAAAGTGCTGATTGCTGCCTGAGAATGAACAGCATTAACCCTGGCTTCCCTCCAACCTCCAGCATTGGGCTTCAGGCATCATTCATCCTCCATCCCAGGTGAAACCCTGAGCAGTGCAATTTGGGGCAGGCTGTTGGGGGAAATGGGGAGCAGAGCATCGCAGGAGCCGCGGGGTGGACGAGGCTCCTCTCTCCACCAGGATCCTGCGCTGCGTCCGGGGCCCCTTGCGCCCCTCTGACTGCCTTTGCTCGGGTGTCCTGCGGACAGGAGGTACAGAAGGGAGCGGTGGCTCTGTCAGTATGTGTGTGACACCTGGAGGGCAGGGAGGGGGAGGTTGTGGCCGAGGAGCCCCGGTGTTACTGTGGGGAGAACTGCGGGTACTGCAGGGTGCAAATCTGTGAGCGACAGAGCCGTGCCTGCCCTGCTGCCTGCATGGACACTTGGATTTATCGCTAGGACAGCTGCACAGATGTTACAGCATCTCTGCAGGGGCTGGTTGTGAGCTTACATTTGGATTGAAGCTCCCCACTTTTGGGGAGACAGGACACTACTCCTCTAAGCTCCAGCTGGCTTTGTAATTAAAATGTTGCAGACTTGGAAGCTGGGCTGATGTGGAGAAGGCTCCAGAGACTTCTAGACTGCAAACTCCTGGGCAGAAGGCTGTGGATGAAATATTGCCACACCTGGGGCTTTTTCAGACATCAGCCCGTGCTGCAGGTAATTGTCTCCCAGCCCGTCATCTTCAATCCAGGCTGCATTTGCTGTGACACCTTCTGTGTGCTACTTGCATGGGTACAACTTGTAATGCACACAAAGGCTGCCAAGCTGTCATGTTCTCCTTTCCGTCTGAGCAGCACCACAGTCTCTGAGGAAAGGCAGAACATCTCACATACCTGGCAGCAGCGTGCTTCAGCATTGTCATTGATGCTGTGCTGTAATTCAGTAAAAAGGAAGAGCAGTGCAGGGGTGTAATGAACCCCATATAGACAGAAATTATTTTTAAAAATCGAAAGGTTGTTTAAGGCAAAGCCAGCATTAAACCATCAGGCATCCTCCTGCACTGCTGGAAGTACAGAGCAGCCAGGTGCTGCTCAAGGAGCAGGAGGTGTGTGCTCTTCACATGGAGGACTTCAAGAGCCCTGTTAGTCCCACACTCCAGGTTAGGTTCTTGTGGGAATGTTCGCGTGGCAGCTAAATCTTATCAGAAGCATGAGCTTCTCGTGAGTGCCAGCTCTGGCTGGCCCTCATGGCAGTGCTCACAGGGTGACCTTTAAGGGCCTGCAGTGGTTAATGAAGCTGGACATGGTGTCTGGAGGTAGTCCTATCAGTCTTGGGAAAGCTTTCCTTAAGAGAGGCTTGGCCATGCCAGCAGCACTTTCTCTCTCCATTATCTCTACCCATTATCTCCATTCTAGGAGAGAGAACAAAAGTTTCAAACCACATTAAATGCTGCTGCTAACTGGACTACATTACCCTGTGTGATCTTTCCATGATTTCATTTAAACTAAGACTGCTTTCCCATTTTCTTTCAAAATCTGTGAAAAGTTGCAGCTTTTCCTAGCTGGTGAGGCCTTATTTCCTCTCCCTCTCTTGTTTTTTCTCTTTTGCACTTCACAGACTCCTACTAAGGGTGTCTGACACTGCCGTTCAGGGCAGCCTTCTAATTGCCTGTGTAATCAGAAAGTCGGATGCCCAATCCACATCCCAGCAAAGGTGATAATCAGGGAGCCTCTCTGGCTTTGGCTGGCAACAGCTGGACTCTGGGAAAGGGGAACCGAGGGCAAACAGGAGTGCAGAGGTGATGGGAGTGGCAGGGAGTATGACAGAGATCCTGCAGGACTTTGGTGTTTTTAGAGGACTTGGGCTCCTCTGTCCACTCATGGAGCAGGTGTAGGAGAGCAGTGTGAACTACATCAGCACATTTCAGTATAAAACAGAATAAAGAGCTCATCATGACTGCTGCCTCTGGCCTGTGCTCTGAGCATGCTCAGGCACTCCAGAGCTGCTGAGGTGCCTTGGTTTCCTGTGGTAAAACCAGCAGGTGCAGAATGACCATGAAATACTTTTTAACCATGGCAGGAGATAATAGGTTATCTGGAGATGCTAGGCACTGGAGATTTGTGTAAACAATCTACAGCCCTCAGTATCTTATTTTTGATAATTGTTAAATCGGGGTGGGGTTTTTTTGTTTGTTTGGGGTCTTTTGCCAAACTATTTATTAATTTTGTTTTAAAGCTTATCCTAAAGTTTATTTATGGGTTTTCTGTTTACATTTTTCCTTCTGATTCTAGTTAGGAAAAATCTGCCTCTTTGGAAGCCTGGGATGCCTGCATCCCCTTTGAAGGTCTGTTCTCTGTTTGCTGAAAATGAATGCAATCAGTTCATAATCGTTACTTCCCAGGTGACTGCCAACCTCCAGCCCAGTGATCAGTAGCTCTGTCATCCTTGGGAGGTGCCAGGTAGTTACTGGGTGCTGGGTACAGCATCACACTGGCCATAAGGTGCCATCTATAACCACCAGACCTCAGAGAATTGTTTAGGTTGGAAAAAACCATCAGGATCATCGAGTCCAACCACTAACCCAGCACTGCCAAGCCCACCATGGCCCACAGGAACCTCCAGGGATGGTGACTGAATCACCTCCCTGGGCAGCCTGTTTGTGTTTTCACTGAGGTGTGGGATGTTTCCAGCACATGTTTCACAAGCTGGCTGGCTCCTTACAAACACTCCTCTTCTTTCCATACAGCCCAGACAGGTCTTTCAAGAGCTCTTTGCTCCTTTCTGCCCTGCAAGTTTTGTGCAAATTCCTGATTCCTTGTGCCTGGTTAGAGGCACCCAATGAAGGCAGCAGGGAGAAGCAGGACAGGCAGCTCCTGCCTGCATTCAGGCCACCGGCACATTTTCCAAGCATGCACAGCTGCTGGCTCTAAACCCGGACTAACTACCCTGGATTAGCCCGGCCTCCAGCAGAACTGGAAAGCGGTGGTGCCTGTCCAGCCCCTCCTCTACTGTTGGGTGAGGTCAGAGTTGTCACCTCCCTCCCTTTCAGGTGTCATTAGGCATGTTAATCTGCAAAGCCACTCTAATTGCTCCGCTATAACCAAACTCAAGCCAGCTGAGGTGGCAGTGCTAACAGGGGTGCAGGCATTACCATTTCCAAATAGATATATTGGAGAAAGCTTTAGGATTTCAAAATAGCACCTTCCCGGGAACAGGCATCGCTACAAACCAACTTTTCAAATGCCAACATTCTCCAAAAAGCAAAATGTGGGATAAGAATGACTTGGGGGGGATCAGAGGGATTGATTGTGACTGTTTCAGGAACAGGCAGAATGGTGTAAAGGTGACCCGATGTCCCTGCTCCGCAGCAGCACCCGCGGGACTCGGGTCGGGTGCCCTGCGCGGAGGGACGAGGCTTTGCCAGCGCTGCTGAAGCGGAGCCATCCTCCGCGTCAGTCCAGTGCCACCTACAGCAGCCAGAGCAGAAGCTGCAGCACCCGGCAAACCAATGGAAGCAATTCCAGCACGCTCCAGCAAAAGGCGTGCTCACATCTGTGAGTGCCTTTGAGGAACTTGTTCATTAGCACCGTGCAGGTGAGGACAATGGAACGGAGCCTTTTGGCTGAAGATTGGCAGCTGCTGTTGTGTCTGCTGGTGGTGATATTGCTAAGCCTCCAGCAGTTCCTTCCCTCTATGACCTGTCCTGTTCCCTGCTGTTTTGTGTGTTAGATGTGCTCATCTTTCTTTCCAGGGAAGAAATGGGTCCGTATGAAGACAGGAAAAGCCCTCCGTCAGGCTTGTGCCAGTGTTTTCACCCATTACTTTTTTCAGTCAGTAACTCCAAAATGCCAGTGAAACAT